GAAGTGCAAGGACAACCGCGTGGTGGTACCAGCAATAGCAGGGATAGCAACGTGGGGGTTTCCCAAAATTAGGGGTACCTCTTTAGGGGCCCTGTAATACGGATTACTGTATATTGTGCTTTTTTGGGGGGCCCTTCTATGTAGGCAGCCCACCATATTGAAATTGAAGTTGCCTTGATGCATTCTAAGGCCGTAAGCAGTTTGGTGATCGTTTCCGCCTGTGGCCGGGGTGGCTGCTGGCAGGGTGCGCTCTGGCCTTAGTTGCAGCAAGCCACGAATGCCACACTTCTACAGTGTACTACTGACCTAGCCCCTCTACATATCCAGTATAATTACAAACCCTCTATAAACCTAAACCCCTGTAGAGATTACATTATGCAATGCCTTCAGGTTTGATGAAATGGATGACACACTGATGCTGATTTTTCCATGTACTTCAGAAGTTTTGATTCGATGAGGAAAGCCCCTGTGCCAGGGCAAGGGTCAACATTTTGGAAATTACAAGGAATATACAGCCATTTCGTCCTCCATGTCATCCATTCCAGACCGGATGACGTTGATGGTTCCAGAAGGTTTGTAGGAGCATCATCATGATTCAGGAGGTTGCGTAGCACAGTGGTAAGGGATCCAGAGTTTTCGTAAGGTACCACAGGGTTGTTCACCAATTGCCAATTGTAGGGCTGTAGAGGCTTGGAACAGAACAGACATCTAAAGGCTGTAAAAAGTGTCATACACGGGCCATAGCAGGGTCATACGGACAACCTTTCGATGCAATTTCGAATGCTGGAAGATTCATGTATGGAAGGTTACAATGTTGAGGGGCTCAAAGAAGCAACATGAAGGGTGCACGTACGGAGACCTTATGTTTTGTTGGAGAATCCTCAACATTCTTCAAAAGGGCCGGCGAGGGATTTCTGGGCTGGCTGCCTTGACCATGACTATGGAAGCTTTGCCCATCATGTATTGGCAGCGATTGGACTAACATTGTGGAAAGTTCTTCTGTAAGACTGTCAAACCGGTGTGCCGAAGAGGCTGTGGCATATGTTATGTATGTGTCATTTCAAATGAGACCATGCTCTGACAAGCTGTACTGCACGTAAGGTGCATGACGTGGGCATGAGTTTGTGAGTGGGAATCTCGGAAGTAAACACTGCAATAGGCTCTTCGAGCTCTTCGAGCACAGTGTCCGGGCCTTGCCTTGCTGTGTGTTTTGTTTGGTAAGTGAGAGCATTCTAAGGTACAACGGCCCATGAGCCATGACCTTGCGACGCAGCAGAACATCTACAACGCCGCCTTGAGTGCTTGCGAGCAGTCACGCCGTTGGAAAGAGGCAGCTGTTGTGGTCCATGGGAGTTTGCAAGCATGAGCTGATCGCAGTTGGGTGGCTGTGACGCGCATCAGGCGCTTGACCTACTTCTGCTACGCAAGAACTCGCCGTCATGTGACCAGGCGCCCGGTCATGCACGTCTGGAATCTGGAGTCGGGCCATCAGCCTGCCTCCTTTGCAAGGTAGCTATCAACACTGCCGCAAGTGCATGTGCTGTGCCACATTGGGAAGTGGCTCTGGAAGTACTCCATGCGCTCAGGCCCGTGTGCGTCATTGCAACACAAGGTTTTTCATGCCTTATTCAAGTTCAAAGTGCTGCCAGGCATTTTGAAGCTTCAGATCCTGGAGGCATGGTGAACTCCACGATGTGCAGGTGTGTGAGATTTCAGAATCTAGCTACGCGCCACAGGTGCTGCGGGCTTTGCTTCTGTGGTTCTCGTTCTGCACTCAGCGGCGGCTGCTGCGATGTGTCTTTGCGCTGAAATCTTGATCTTGAGGGCTGTTTTGCAGCGGGAGCCTGGGTAGCAGCTGGCGTCTCAAATGTAGGTGAACCATGGATCTCATGAGGGAGCGGCTTGCAACTTGCAACCTCTGCAGCTTGAGGCTGTGCGCTTGTTTGAAGGATGCAGCCGGCAACGAGGCAGAATCTGACCATCCACGATACTATGTTGTACTATCTTATGCTTTAACATGGTATGTTACAGATTATAGTATATTATGCTATAATACTTGTTATAGTATATCTTATACGGAAATCTCTTATAATGTACTATGCATTATCGTAGACTATAGTATGACATAGTACACTATTCGATGGCACCTGGAGGATGGTGGAACAAGGGGCAAGCTGCCGCCCACATCGGTGGCCTGGCTGTGGCGCTCCTCGGGGCCGTGCAGTCCTGCGAGACTTTCTTGCAGGCCTCCAACCAACCAGCGGGGATGGTAGTTTCCATTTTCTTTTCCATTCCCCGATATAACCCCATCTGTTCCTATGATTGGGGTATCCTGGTGGCAGGATGTTTTGTTGCTGGGGGTGTACAGATGCAGGGGCAGACGTTGTATCGCCTCTTCCAGCAGCTTACCTCGCCTGACCTCGCCTCAGCTGTGGTGAATAAGAAAGACTTGGATGGGTACGAAATCGTCCTTGATGAGGGCCCAAGCGGCGCACGATTGTTGATGTTCGACCTGGCAAGACCTTTGCCAGGCTACGAAGCTTGGGTATCTTTGGGCGAAGCTGGTGGAACCCCTTACTCTAGCCTTGGCCAGGTGTTAAGGATGAAGGCTTCCGGGCAGACGTGTCCGAGATGCTGTATAGGCCTGGTGAGGGGAGGTGACGGGTTGCTGGCATAGTTCGCGGGACAACTTCTCCAGGCATGGGTTGAGCCGGGGCCTTGCTATTCTCTCATGCTTGTCACGTTCGGAGGCCGTGAGTTGAGCCGTGGCATGTTGGCTTCAGGTGATGGACATTCGTTACCTGCATGTCGAAGGCTGACAGCTCGACTGCCGATAGTGCTGGTAGGACTGGTAGGGGTCCTCCTGCCCGGCATTGTAGACAGCAACTCCGGCTCGTTTGTCCCTGCAGGCTGCGGTCAGCATCCGCATCCGCTTTGCACAAACTTCGGTCTGGCGGGACCTACCAGTGCGCGGGCCACAGCTTTACAACAAGTTCATACACCTGTGAGAAAATACTTGCTTTTTTGCGCTAATCCCAGGCCTTCCTGACCTTGAGCGCCAGTTTCTGTCCGGAACCCTCACCAGAGGGATGCTTCAAGGAGCTGCAAAGTCCTCCATGGCTCTATGAAAGTTCAGCGAACATCGGAGGACTGGCCTTGACACTCAGGCAGGGAGCTTTGTTACAACTTGGTGATGGCTTGGTGTGCTTATCCTGTCAGGTCTCAGACGACCTTGCTTGTATATGCAGCAAAGACTCGCGCAGACAAACGAATATCTCATGCGTTCGAGGAAATGTTCTGCGTTGCTATACTGCTGTCAGCTGTCCATGCAGTTGTCATATGCCCGTGAACATGCAGCCTCACTAGGATAAATCTGACCTCAGTTGCCCTGCCCGGCAGTTACCTTAAGCAAAGAACAGGGAGGCCCGTCAATGAGGTCGTTGTACAACTATTGATTCCAAAGACACCTTTGAGACATACAGTACGGCTGAGCCAGGCTCAATACGCCAGTGGGCATCCGAGCATGACTGAAAAACAGGTCCAGATCATGTAAACCAGCAACACCTCACTATACCAGAGAACAGCCTTGCAAGTAAAGCAAACTAAGCCAGATCGTCCTGATGGCGAAGCCTGGCGTTCATCCGGATGCCGAGGACACGCATTGACACATAACAACTGTGCGCAATCAATCATGCTCTGCTGAAACATAGCCAGTCTGGATGCTACTTAGGGTTCAAGCTGATGAAGCCGGTTGAATATGGGACAAGTGTGATGATCAAGGAGCTGCCGTGGCGCCGCTTGCGACGAAGAGCTGCTGTAGCGAAATCATGTCTGCTGCGCTCCGCCGTGGCTGCCTGCCTTCTTGGCGGTGCAACTCGAACCGTAGAAGCTCAGGGCCCAGGTTGGAAACCAGCGGACTGCAGAGTTATGCTGTACACCAATCGCACCTAGATTGAATGTGACAGCTGGTGCACATCCTGCTGCATCATTGGCAAGGTCCAGAGCTTTACTGCTGGGCCGATACTTCAGGCCTTTGCTGCCATAAAGCCATCCATACTCCAGAAGTCAGCTGCAGTAGTTCTGCCCCTACAGCTCAACAGTCACCTGGCAGCCCAAGCCTGGCTTGGACAGGTTTGCAGAGGTGTGCGGCTGCAGGCAGCTTGAAGGGAGCAAAGTCTTGGAAAATCAGATTTCTATACCCAAGATGCTCAGTTCGGAGTAGCCTGCTGTTGTCTGGCAGGCTCCTGCAACAGCTGATGATCGCGTGATCTTAGCAGAGAGAGGGCCCTTCTCTCGGAAGCGATTCTCAGAACGCGGGTTGCCACATGTCGAGTCCCAGGTCCGGTGCTGAAGGTCGCGAAAAGGCTCAACGCTGCTGGTCCAAGTGTCGAACTTTCTTCGGGGCTCTGGGCTCTACCCCGCTGCCAGGGCCGATCTATTCAGCCTCTCTCCTGGCTGCAGAAGCCCAAGCCCCCGACGTCAAGAGCTAAGGTCGAGCCCATGAGATGCTTTGCACTTGTTCTTGAGAAGGGCATTTGAAGGTGTAATAAATTCAAGCTGGTACTTGTCGTGCTCAGGCTGCCTGCGAACCTCTTCAAGCCCAAGGAGAGTCTCTCGCAGACCTTCCTGGCAGACCCGAGCCTCGGATTGAGAAAGTGCTGTGTGAATTCCTTGTGACAGTTCCTGAAGCTTACAGGAACTACATCTTCAAGATGGGCCCGCCTGCCTGAGCTTCCTGCTGGCCGTGGTAGCTGTTTCCTTGTGGCATGATTGGCATGCGCTTTGCCAGTTTCGGAGATGGATGACGAGTCCGAGGGCGGCAAGCGGGTCGTTGAACTTGGGTCCCGGCCCTGTGTACCACAGACGTCTCCATGTCAGCTTAGAGCATGAAAGGCCTGGTACTGGAGCCATTACATCTCGGCTGTGGCAGAGATACCCAGAGGTCTGGCCTGAGCGCTTAGCGGCTTACCGCGAAGCTGGCTATTCAGTGTATGTGGCAGATGGTGGGCATTGAGCTGGACCAGCGTGCCATGCGTGTCCTTGCGCAAAGCGTCCCGGGGGCCACCGTGCCTTAATGCAATATGCAACCTGACCAGATGTCCAGAATTAGGATGCGGTTTGATTTCGCAGGTCGTTCGCTCGGATGTCCTGCTCGTGAACTACACTAGGCTATCCGAGCTAAGAGGTGGTCCTCTGTCGATCGCCTGGGACTTGACGGTTCACCTGCTGCTTGCAGCGTTCAAAGAAAGGTGAGCATCTGAACAACAGCGGCTACAGGTCAGCAACCTTCCTTTCCACGTAGCCTCGCAGCTCCTGTTCACACTTGCTGACCATGCCGATGGAGTGCGCACTTGGCAGACTCACAAAGCGGGCTCTACTTGCATATGGCAGAGCTGTTCATGTTGAAGCGCTTGCAACTAGCAACCTTGCAGGTACGCAATGCGCACGTGATCCTGCAGCAAGAGGTGCATGCACAGGATTGTAGCTTGCCAAGCCTGTCCTTGTCAAGTCTTGTGTTGTCCTCCCACTTCCTGACCTTGCCACCAAAATGAGTCCTTCCATAGGAAGACAACCTTGTCTAGTCTAAAGCATTCCCACTCAGCCCCTGAACTGCAGGTTGCTCAGCGCATTGTGGCCAAACCCAATAGCCAGACACTAAGACAACTCATGCGCTGGCAGGATCCGGCAGGATGTTGCAATTTTTGCATTGGCTGTCTCATGCGAGGCAAGAAGTATGGCATTCCCAGCGTGGTCTTCCAGCTGTGCGCTTGCACGTCTTGATGCGGTGGTCGTTCTTGCTACTGTTAGTCCTCAATGTAGGAGTGTGGAGAAGGTACGCTGACCCCAAGATCTTGTTCCACTTGCCACCCACTGCATACTTTCCCAGACCGAACGCACGCACCTCAGACGCCCAACAAATCTCATGGTAGATGATGGGGGTCCATGGTCCACCTGCCTGTAGGGACAATTCTCTTGCTGTTGGGCGGAAAGCAAAGCGTCTGAATGCTGTTCCCTTGCAACGAGCTGGTGTGCTACAATTGACGAACATCCGAAAGAGCACACAAGCAGTTTTGCTTTCATCCCGAGAGCTCAGTGGTCCTTAGTTGCACCTACGCTGTCTGACATTTCCAATTTGGGTAGGAGTTGGGGTGTTAACTGGCACAGCTGATGCTGCCTGCCCTTCGCAGTCTAAGTAGGAGCTTTGGGTGCGGCTCACATACTCAGAGCTATCTCCGCTAAACTGTGCAGCTAAGCTTGCAGATTGTGAATTCAGTCTGCAATCCCAATTTGGATTTCTTGGTGGCGTCTGTGATGCAGTATTAGCTTTGGTGCTAAGCGAATCCTGCCCCCCTGGGCTCAAACCACTGCAGCGGTAGCAAGATCAGACACAAGACTGTCTTTGCAGCTTCAGACCCGAGATCATAAAGCAAAAGTCAAGAATGCAGGTGTAGCCAGACGTAAGTCGTGGTTCGCTACAGGTAATGACCTCATACTTGAAGCTGGACTTCGAGGCTGCGGCGGAGCGCAGAAAAGGCAGGAATGTCTGCAGGAATCAACTTCAACCTTGTCGAGATGCAATGGGTTCAGTTTGTCTTGTGGCCTTGCTTGCTGCTCTCAGCTCTGAACGTTGATCCTCGCGACCTACGCAATCTCACCAATACGGTCTTCAGATACAGACGCAAAATGAAGCTCGGCATCCTGAATCGCTGAAGAGATAACAAATCCTCAGAGAGCTGCAGGAAGTGACATGCAGCTTCGCAAAGCCACCGGATACCACGACATCTAAGGATGTCGAACTCCTTGAGCCGAATTCTCTCTGCCGAGCCAGCATGTTCAGTTCACAGAGAGCAGTTTCCAAGCGTGTGGCAGCCATTGCGCCCGAATCAAAGATGCCAGTGCCACACGACGTTAATCAACAAGCTGCCTGAAGAGTATGCAAAGCTCCGTCCAGAGCAGTTCCCCACTCGGCCAATCTCGGCCACGCAAGCGCTTGCGTGAGGGATCTACACGAATGTAGTGCCCAGGATCGAGCCGTGGGAGTTTGTGCACCTCACACAGCTCATCTTCGGGAAGAAGGTCCCAACAGACTGTCGAGCATTACAAGCTGCCTTCTCTACTTTTCAATATCTGCATGCTCGTTACAGTGAGATTGACAGGAATTCCCAAAGTATTTCAGACGGGCTTGGCGCGGTGAGTTTGGACGAACGGTGGCGAACTCGGCCGTCTTGCAAAAACAATGTGTGCGCAGACAATCGCACTTTGCAGTATTTGCAGTGTGAGCGTGAGCCGAGGTTCGAGACTGATTAGACTCCCATTCTTTCGTTGTAGCGAACGTCAGAGATGTGGAGAAATGCTTGCGAATCGGTGACCCTCTCCTCTGCCTGGTGAGTGCACTTCTTGAATTCCAAGCTGCCAGGTAGACTGGCTCGGCGGAGCTGGGTGTGGCAAGCCCTAAAGCAAAATCTTGGCTCAGACAATGACAGGTCCAATGCAGCAAGCATGACTGGAAGATGCATTTGCCGATTTATCAGCCTAAGCCATCATCCACAACATCTACTCTGCTGAGAGAATTGCCCGCTAAGAAGTAAACCAAGTAGAGAGTGGCTGTTTGATTTGAGAATGTCAGGGGCGTTGTGTGGCTGTGCGATGACAGCCATGAGTTATGGCTGGCAGACCCGACCGTGATCGCTACGCCCGAAGCAGGAGCCGCTCGTATCGGGATCGGAGGGATGCACTAGGTCGAAGCCACGGCTCTGGCCATGGAACTTATGGCAATCAGGGCCACCAAGGCTTCAGAGAACGGCGTGACCGCGACAGAAACGATAGAAACGATAGAAACGATAGAAACGACAGGGCCGACAGAGGTGACAGGGGTGACAGGGACGCACGAGATGGCATGCGGAATGATGGTCTGCCGGCCCTGAGGCGTCCTGATCCTCGCAATGAGGGGAATGCCAGGGGTCGTCATGGACAAGATACCTCAAGAAGCTATGACAAGTATCGTCAAGATCCTCGATACAGCTATGGGAAAGGTGGACATCCTGATGACAGGCAGGCAGATCGCCACAACTATGGGGACGATCGTTATGCTAATCGGTACCCAGACCGATATGATGACAACGGTTGGGACAGATACCCAGACAGGGATCGGCCCCGATATTCAGAGCGCGACAGGGAGCGTGAGGATCGTGAGCGGTTTGACAGAGACCGCCGCGCTCCAGAGCGCGAAAGGCATGGCCTCCGAGAGCGTTCCAACCACGGCAGCCAAGGACGCCGACAAACGCCGGCATACCCGGCATACCAGGCACAGGACGAGCGAAGACACGGCGAAGAACGCCGTGTGGATCATCGCCCGGAGGATTACTACAATCCCCAGGAGGAGGTTGCGAACCGTTCCCGGAGTCACCGCCGTGTTCGCAAGGTGCTTGTCAAGGAAAGGCTCCTTTGTAGCAGATAGTAATCCTTTGGGTTTTGGAGACTCTAGTAACTTCCTGTGTTTCTCGGTCACTCTGCCATGGTTTGCTGGAGTGTCCTGCAGAGTGCACAGGAAGCCGCCTGATGTTCGTCGCATTCGCGACCGGGAGGATGGAGTGAAAGCCACGAGCAGAACCCCAGCAGCAGAATGGCACAATTGTGGTGGCTGTGTACCTCACGGCGTCGCCGTCAAGTGTATCTGCTGAGGTGGCAGGTTTCGGCAGGATGGCAGAGAAGTTCGTGCAGAGATGTCACGAGGCGAGCACGTCCAACCAGCCAACGACAGGCCGCGCAGGCCCAGACCTTTGATACATGGTCAGCTTCACATGTACTGCCAAGCCTACTGGACATGTCTCCTGACATGTCCAGGGCACGAGATGGGCGACCGGGTGAAAGACGACCGAAACCAGGAGGCAGGAGGGGTACTGTACTCCAAGTATTCTCTCAGTATGTGGGAGTTTCTCAAGAGTCGGGCATGCATAATCCCCAAGAAACACTCGCATGATACTATAGTTTTCCTGTGACCATTGATAGCACATGCCATTCTCTGTGAAGGGGTACCTATATTTTGAGAAACCCCCATTTGATTACTGATTTAGGGTTGCGTCGCTCAAAGTGACCTTGTGCCAGGTCAACACCCAAGGCACGGCCGAGCCGCTCGTGACGGCAAGGCAGCGACATGCAGTAACTGCTCTGTTCACTTGGCTTCAAGTTTGGCCTCCTGGCTTCGGCCTGTTCTCGCAGGCCCGGGAACCCGCGCGGTCTCGCGAGGAGGTGGCATTTAGAATTGGAACAGGATTTTGCCCTCCGGGTTCAGTTCCGGGGGTGGTTTTATATGGTAATTTACAGGGCTTCATGTTCTTGAGGGTCGAAAAAATAATTATTGGGAGTAGTTTCTGCAAGGGACCCTGGAATTCCTAACCATCAGGTACAAACATCTTCAGAAACGTAATTATGCTTTGGGCATGGATGCTGCGGTGAGCGTATGCAGTTGGAACACGAACGGAATTATGCTTTGGGCACGGATGATCTGGTCATCGCATGCACGTGGAACACGAACGGAAGTATGCTTTGGGCATGGATGCTCTGGTCATCGCGTGCGCTTGGAACACGAACGGAATTATGCTTTGGGCATGGATGCTGCGGTGAGCGTATGCAGTTGGAACACGAACGGAATTATGCTTTGGGCACGGATGATCTGGTCATCGCATGCAC